GAGTCACCGACAGTCACAGTTCTTTCAGAGGAGTGCGATGACATGGTGATCGGACGGTGGGAGTTTGGGGTGGAGAGAGAAAAAGGATCGTGATCCTATCTGATACCAAATGAGAATTGAATTAGTGAACAGTTACAACTGAAAGCAAATACAACAGAGATAAAAGATAACTTGACGTGAAACTCTCCTATCTAATAGAGAGCTCAGGTCAATACAATCTAAACCACACAAATAAAGAAATATAAAAACTATATACTATAACACTTATTAACAGACTTGTGGATTTTATTGGTTTGGATAGTCTTAGCCTGTGCATCTAGGTTCTCAAACCTAGGTGTGGCATAACACCCCGACTCATAAGGATAGTTTACGCTCTGTGTGGATTAGCCTGCCTTTATCGTATAAGTCTTTTGGATGCTTTAAAAATTAGGGGTGTTACAACACCGGTTTCAACAACAGTTAATAGACAACGGTTAAAAAACCGTTGTCGTTTCAAGAAAAGACAACGGTTAAAAATTGTTGTCTTTGTGCGTGACTTTTAACAACACCGGTTTCAACAACACTTAATAGACAACGGTTAAAAAACCGTTGTCATTTCTAGAAAAGACAACGGTTTAAAATCGTTGTCTATGCGCGGGACTTACAACAACACCGACTTCAACAACATTAATTTTACCCCTACGACAACAGTGAAAAACCGTTGTCTATGTGCATTTTTCTTGTAGTGATAATATAGAAACTTCATTATAACTGTCACTAAAATAAATGTTTAATTTGCAACTTTGTAAAATCGATAGTCTAAATACTTGGTCTAAAAACGATAGTCTAAATAAATATTACTTTTGGTTTGAATTTTTCTAAGTAACATTGTCATTGTCTTCATCTTCATTATTTGTCCTCTTCATTTTTGTTGGTAGTGTGTTATTTGCAATTGGGTTACTTTTAGTAGCATAAATGACAACGCCATGCAATCAGATTATGATGTAGAAAGCTGTGGATTTTCTTTGTTGTGTATATGACTGAGATTTTTGTTGTACTATGAACTCTTGATCTTGCAAGCGCCTGTTGATATTTTGCAGTGGGAGTTTGTTCTCCTACATATTTCTTATGGAAGTATTGAATAAAATATTATGAAGTAATATTTATTATATTTGAATAAGATTCATGAGTAGTACCTCTTGTTCTATTTTCATTACTTGTTTACTTGATAGTAACAACAATAACTCTGGAGGTAGTTCGAATATTGATGCTGTAACGTGTCCAATTTCATCAAAAATTTCCACATTCATTTTACATCTGTTCATTTTCAAGTTCATATTTTTAGAATTAGTAGGAATGATTGTAGTATTTGATTGTGTATGTGTTTTAAATTTTTTATTGAATTGATATTAACCTTCGAGTTAAATTGTTTTCAACTTTGTGCATAAGTTTTTTTTTTTTTTTTTTTTTATTTTAAATAGTGACTACATTCTATATACCATGTATTTTTGTTGTGAAGGTTGATGTTGATTTTGCATGAAATCTAAGCAGGTTGAGTCTAGAAGATGAAATGAATTGTAAAATTATATTAGTTCTAATATATTTAATGAATGCACAATAAGTATTTTTTTTTACATACAGGATAAATGAATGAACCAACGGTGACTATTTTAAAATTTCTTCATTTTCTAGGTTTGCCAAATTGATTGCAGCATTGTTGTAGTCTCGACATCTTTTCAGTGCATCAAGTATGTTACGATGTTCTATTGCCCTATATTGACAGTTTTAATAATGAGCTTTAAATGTAGCTACGTAAGACAATGATATAATATAAAATTAACATTTATATATTATTATCAACATAAAAGCATACCAGACCTTTAGGTGTTCTGTTCGGGATTCATTTGGTTCAACCATTATTGTGTGAATGAGTTATCGTAGATAAAGAAATCCATAGTTTAAGGAATAGGATTAGATAAAGTAGTACAAAATTGAACATTTTAAATATGATGTAGTCCAAAGATATTCCGAGATAGTTTTCTGCTTCAATTGTTGGGTTATTTGAATACTCTCTTTGCCAACAAATCTCCCAAGTAGTTAATATGATTGGCTGCAAACTATTATTATATTTTATTTTTTTATGGTATTAATAAAATCTTTGGTAAATAAATATATAACATTATTTTAATTTGTATTATAACTTTGATATTTAATTACAAGATAGTGTAAAAAGAAGATAACGGACATTGTAATGAATATCAATTGATGAATTTGAATGTAAAGAAACATTGCATTGGAGAAAATAAAAGACAAATATATATAACTAATGAAATTATTTATTTTATTTAATTTATTGAAATTGATTAATTTGTTTTTAAAGTAAAGACATTGTAAGCACATAATTCTAAATTAAAGAAATGCATATGTATTATTTTTTGTTGTAGCTACTAATTTATTTAATTCAACAAGAGTAAAATAGAGTGAGGAACTTAATTATGCCAACTTTGATTGGGATTAGGTTCGTATCTAAGACGTTTCTTATTCAAATTAATGAGTAAGTTAATAATTAAGGATAAATTTGAAAATCTCAAGAAAAAATTAAAATCTAAATAATCTGAATCATTCATTTCAATTAATAATTTGACGGACATTTTTTTGTACCCATTATACACCTAATTTTATTGGCTCTTATTAGTGTGTATATATATATATATATATATATATATATATATATATATATATATATATATATATATATATATATATATATATATATATATACACTAGTTTTCTAGTTTTTTTACGCGCTTTCCGAGAATGGAATAATGCCCCATGATTATTTTAGAATAAGCATTTCAAAGCATATCAATGCAATATTATATAGGAGATGTTTATGCATAGATAAATAAATGTTGAATTTGTTTATTTAAATCGGTAATTTAAAGTATATAAATTCAAAATAATATATGAGGGATTGATTATAATTGTCACTAAAATAAATGTGTGCAACTTTGTAATAACGTTAGTCTAAATACTTAGTCTTAAAGTGATAGTCTAAATAAATACTACTTTTGGTTTAAATTTCTCTAATCCTTCTTAATTCTTGTTTGGGTAGCATTATCATTGTTTTCATCTTCAGTACATGTCCTTTTTTTTTTTTTTTTTTTTTTTTATTGATAGTGTGTCATGTGCAATTAGGTTACTGGTGGTAGCATAGAGGGATTCATCATGCAATGAGATTATGGTGTAGGAAGCTTTAGATTTGTCTTGCTGTGTATATGACTGAGATTTTAGTTGTAATATGAACTCTTTATCTTACAAACACCTATTGATATTATATTTAGTAGTGGTAGTTTTTCCTCTACATGTTTCATGTGTTTTGAAATGTGTGTCGTAGGTTATCATGGGAAAGTATTGAACAAAATATTAATATTTATTATATTTGTATAAAATACTTGGTAAATAAATATATATAACTAACACGTTTTGTATTATAACTTTGATATTTAATTACAAGATAATGTAAAAAGAAGACAATGGACAATATAGTAAGTATAATAAATTAATAAATTTGAAGATAAGGAATCTTTGAATTGTAGAAAATAAAGATAATATAACTAATGAAATTATATTTCTTTTAAATTTTTTTATAATGAATAATTTTTTTTAAATAAAGCATTATAGACATCTAATTCTAAATTAATTTAATGCATATGTATTATTTTTTGTTGTAGCTACTAATTTATTTAATTTAATAAGAGTAATAAACTATTTTCATCGACAATAATGAAATTAATGTTTTTTTTTTTATTTTCATTCCTTGTTGAGACAAATTGTTTTGAGAGTTTGTCAATGATAATTGCTACAATTGCTATCAACAGAAGATGATAATAAATAATCCGAAATATATGGTTACAATAGATATTGTTATAATGATATAGTAAAAATTAACTTATAAATTTCTTTAGAAGTTTTCATGCATTGATAAAATTCTGATGTGTAAACTTGTTCAATTGGAGCTAGTAAGATGTTAACATTGTCAATTATTTGGAAAATGGTCCCACCGTTTTAGAGTCCATGTGTAATTGTATTTATGATCAACAACTTTGTAGTTAGGCCGCACAGGTTTGACAATGATGTAACAACAATTTTGTCCGATAAAAAAAATAATAGTATAATATTTGTAAAGTAAGGTACAATTGTACCATTATAAAAAAAAATACAAAAAATATTATTACCATAATGACCTGAATCATTCTAATAATGCAAAAGCATAACTGAAATATTAAGTTTTGTTCTAAATAATCAAAAGAAGATTAATTAAACGTTAAAAAAAAATCTTAATCTAAATTTGTTTTTTTTTTTTTTTTAAATCAAGAAAATCAAATGATTTTTAATGTTCCTGATTTATAATCTTTGATGCTCAACTTTGTATGCTATGTATTTAGTCAGATTGTTTGGCCAAAGTTTATGTTAAATTTTATATTATATATTTTTTTAATACAATTTTTCATATTTATAATATATGTTTAACAATTATATCAATTCTAATTGAGATGAGGTTTGAACCTAAGACCTTTCTTATATAAAATAATGAGTAGGTTAAGAATAATAAATAGTTTTCCGTTATTAAAGTTTATACTAACGGAATTTAAGGTTATTAAAGGGAAGAAAATAATATAATAGAGGGTAAATAAGGAAAATCATTAAAAAAAATACTAAAATTAAAATAATATGAACCATGGATTTTAATAAACAACTACTATGGGCATTTTTTGTTCCAGTTAAGGGCCTAACATTATTGGCTTTTATTAGATTTGTAGAAGTAGAAACTAAGAGAGATTTGATTTTCACTACCAAACTATAGCCTTACTCCATGCATCCACTGTTCTTCCAAGAAGTTATATATACACTCAATGACTCGATGTTTACATAATTATACAAATTTCTATCTTGCTTACTGACTTTATAATGAACTGACTTTGAATTGAGAACCTGTATCTATTTGGAGTTGATGATGATCATATGATCTGAACTGCCTCAGCATATTCCGTCTCATCATCCATGCAATCATAATAGGAATCTCTGTTGAAAGTTGAAAATAGATCCTTGTTGTTTACCCATTGATCGTCGTATCCAAAAGGGTTTTCGGGCAATTGATAATCACAGTCCACTTTGGTCCAATATATGACAGGAGCCAAGTTCCTCAAGAAGAATGGGTGTGTCATTAACCTCTTAGCACTCCATCTCCCCTTAGAGTCTTTGTTCAAACACTTGCTGAGAAAATCTTTACAAAACACAGACACATTTTCCGGAATCTTGGGCTCTTGAGTCTCAATCTTGATCCTCAGATCTGCTCTGTTGCACCACTCTCCCCAAACCGATTCTCCTGTGATCATCTCCACCGTAATGCACCCCAACGCCCAAACATCCCTAGGGGCCTGGTGAATTCCGGTTAAAGATTCCGGCGAGCCGTACTGCAACGTGCCACGGAATTTCATGCTAAACTCATTATCATAATCCTCTATCTTACCATCCTGAATTGCCAGCCCGGAATCCGCAATCTTGAGACGATTAAGCCCGTTTTGTTGCATGGGGAAAACAAGAACGTTGAGGGGTTTCAAGTCGCAGGGGACGATCCCCATGGCGTGCAAATCCGAGAGGCCCACAAGGAGCTGGTACGCGTAGAACGCGACCTCGCCTTCGGACATCATCGTCTCCTCTTGGCGCGAGTCGATCAAGCTTTGCAGGGAGCCGCCGGCGGCGTATTCGAGCAAGAGATTGTACACCACTTCGTCGTCGTCTTCGAGGCTGATGTCCGTGCCGTAGCAGTGAACGAAGTTGGGGTGTCCTCGCAGGGAGTATAAAAACCGTTCCTCGTATTGGAGCGAATCGGAATGCTCTATTTCGGCGCTCTTGACGGCGACGCATGCCGGCGACGGGAACCATGCGGAAGAAGAGCGACCTGGAACGGCCAGGGAGACGGTGCCGTAGGATCCCATGCCAAGAATGCAATCTTTTTTCCACCACATTATTATTATTATTATTATTATTATTATTATTATTATTATTATTATTATTATATTGTATAAGTAGAAAGTGATCAAAATCAAAGCGGGTAAGTAACTTGGCTTTGAGAGATGAGGGAATTAAGAATGAAGCTAGGCATTTCTATCTAGATATATATATATATACGTCAGGTTTAGAACTACAACTTATCCCAATTTGAGTAGGCTAAGACTTCAGTCTATGTATAATTCTAATAATAGAATTATTAGTATTAAGAGACTATTTTAATCTTTAACCATCTTTATTCATAAATTATATACACAATTTATATACTAAATATTCACAATTGTACAAAACAAATGTGTATGAAACTCATTGGCCTAGTCCAAATTGCACATAGCTCCCCGTCGTAAACCAATCTATACTTCTACGCTCCCATCGGCAGTATCCAATAAAAGAGCCAAATCCTCCAAATTAAGATCCATGGCAACACATACTCGAATACTCCCACTTTCTACTCTCTACTTAAGTAACACACTTTGATTCATTCAAAAAAATGTGGGAGCGGGAGTTTTAATCCCTTTGAATTCATTTATCATTTTCCTAGTTTTCCCCACCTAAAATCAACCTCGTAAAAATGGGAATAAGCTAACATTTATTAGTTTTTTTTTTGTTAGACCACGAGGTGTCCTTAACAAACCTTAACAGTTTATTAGTTGTGGTGTATTTCTACATACAGGGGCGGAGCCACTATGGAGGCAGTAGGGGCAGCTGCCCCCCTCCCCCCACCGACAATTATGCCATGGACCCGGATCCACCTTGCAAGGTGGACCCGGATCAAAATACACAATTTATATATTGAAATTCACAATTTACATAGTGAATGTTCACAATTCAAATTCTGAACTTTCAGTATGTAAATTGTGAACATTTAGTATATAAAATTGTGAACATTCAATATGTAAATTGTGATAATTTAGTATGCAAATTGTGAACATTCAATATATAAATTGTGAACATTCAGTATGTAAATTGTGAATATTTAGTATACAAATTGTAAACATTTAGTGTATATAAAAATTGTGAACATTGAGTATGTAAATTTTGAACATTCAATGTATAAATTGTGTACTTTTGGACCCGGGTCCACATAATAATTTGCCCTCCTCCACCCCACCTGTTTATATATATGTATGCATATATGTACATACTAGTTTTTTACGCGCATTACGCGATTGAGATAATGCCCAATGTTTTTTTTTTTTTTTTTTTTTTGAAATAAGTACTTTAAAGTATATCAAGGCAAGCTTATATTGTAATTGTTTATGCATAGATAATTGAATGTTGAATTTGCGTATTTAAATAGGTAATTCTAAGTTTACAAATGCAAAATAATATAGTCAATATTGATTATAATTGTCAATAAAATAATTGTATAGGTATGGTTGAAACCAAATACGGAACATAAGGGAGAGAAAATAAAAATTAGGGCATAAAATATTAAATATATACTAATATTGAAGAGCTAACTGACGATTGCTAAACAAGGACATTGCGGGGTAGTTTCCCACTTCAATTTGTTGTGTGATTCGAATACTCTTTTTGTCAATAAAGCCCCCAAGTAGTTAATATGATTGACTTAAATATATATATTTTTATTTTTTAAAAACAATTACTATTATTATTATTATTATTATTATTATTATTATTATTATTATTATTATTATTATTATTATTATTATTATTATTATTATTAAATATATGTATACACTTAGGTCATTTATCATGTTAATCTAAATAGCTAATTTTTTTAAATATCTTTTTACCAACCGTTGCTATAATTCGCTGGTCAAATCCGCTGATGCTAACTGCTAACTGTTGATTGTCAAACAAGGACATTGCGAGATAGTTCTCACTTCAATTTGTTATGTGGTTTGAATACTCTCTTTGTCAACAAATCTCTTAAGTAGTTAATATGATTGGATTTATTAATTATATTTTTTAAATTTTTTCATGGTATTAATAAAATACTTGGTAAATAAATATATAACATTATTTTGTATTATAACTTTGATATTTAATTAAAAAAATAGTGCACAAAAAAGATAATAGACAATGTAGTGAATATAATCAATTGATGAATTTGAATATAAAGAATTTTTACATTGGAGAAAAATAAAGACAATATAACTAATAAAATTATGTCTCTTAATTAATTTATTGATAATGAATAATTTTTTTAATAAAGGCATTGTAGGGACAATGTAGCGAATATAATCAATTGATAAATTTGAATGTAAATAATTTTTATATTGGAGAAAAATAAAGACAATATAACAAATGAAATTATTTCTCTTATTTAATTTATTGATAATGAATAATTTTATTTTATTTTTTGAATAAAGACATTGTAGACACATAATTCTAAATTAAAGAAATGCATATGTCTTATTTTTTGTTGTAGCTACTAAATTATTATTAAATTTAATAAGAGTAAAATATAGTACTAAATTTAATAAGAGTAAAATATAGTAGTAATTATGCCAACTTTGATTGGGATGGAGTTCGAACCTAAGACCTTTCTTATTGGAATAAATAAGTAAGTTAACAATGAACTAACAAAAATTAACGGAAAAGATAATATTTAACGGAAGAGCTAACAGATAATCATATTCATTAAGGATAAATTAGGAAATCTTAAGGAAAAATTAAAATCTGATCAATCTGAGCCATCCATTTGATTAAAAAATTTGATCGCCATTTTTTCTACCCATTATAAGCCTAACTCTCTTGGGCTCTTATTAGTATATATATATATATATATATATATATATATATATATATATATATATATATATATATATATATATAATGTTAGGTCCTAGGATCAAACCCTACCTTTGGCATTTTACCTTGATTTATGCCTTTTAACCCCTTTACAAAAGGAGAGGGACTTTATTACTTATATTTATCAACAGAGATGAATTATAGTGTTTTTATATTCAAATTATTTTTTCTAATTGATTATGCTTCATATTTTGTCATCATAAATATTTTTATAACATTTCAAAGTGCTTTAAAATTTCACCACACTCAAATATATTTCTAGCTCTGCCATGGATTATACACTAGTTCAATCATAAACATTGTATCGTAATTTATAACATATTTTGTATTTGAACCATTGTAACACCCCCAAAACTAAGCCATTTTAAAAACAGTTTAAACTTAGGAAATAAGGCAACATCTAACCATTTAATTAAAACTAAGCGGAAGCTAAACAGATAAGTATGGGAGTGCTATGCCACAACTAAGTTCTCTAAACCTAGTTGCACAGGCTTTACAAAAACTCTATCCAAAAGTCTACAAGTTCAAGGCTCGCTGGCCAAACTACTAAGCTATAAGAAGAAAGCTAGTTTACCAGACTCCACTATCGGCTCTCAGCTCAACTACTCTGTACCTGAAAACATATGGTATTACAACCGTTAGCGAACATTGCTAACTAACCCACTCAAACGCATTGAGTACAATATATATATTTTATAGGAAACCACTTTTGAGACTTGGAATACAAGTATAGTCTTATCAACACTAGCTTTTAAAACAAGAGAGATAGAAGCATCATTTGACTCATCGAAAGATACACGCAATCATATAGACCAACATATGGCTAAACAATAGAATCAATCAAGGAAACAATGATACGATACAAGGATAATCATCAATGAAAGGTAATCAATAAACAATCATCAAAGGTCACATATAAAGAGATGCTCATAAGCAACGAATTTCAAGAATCATTATCAATGATCAAGTTTCACGTTCCAACCTTATACCAAGTTCCAACCTTTACACCGCTCCATCCTTATATTAGTTCCAACCTGTACCCCAGGCCACCCTTGTGACACCCCAGAAATTCATTCGCTAAAACCCGAATTAATTCCTTAATTAATTCCTTGTGGTTTTACAATTCTTATCCTAACTTCCCTTTGAAATTAGTTGAGGGACCTAGTTTGACCAAATCCCTTACTCTTTTAATTTGGTCAATGAGTTGTACCTTGTGCATTTGCCCTTGTACCTTAGACTTTGTCTTTCTTCTAACAAGTTTTGGGAGGAAGGGGCCCTTTTGGTCATTTCACACAATGCTAGCATTAAAACCCTAACGTAACCAAGGAATCCAAATCATTTTTCAGGATTTCCCTTCTCTCTACATCTCTTTCTTGCCCCCTATTCCACCTTCTCTCTTGGAAATCCTAGAGTTGATCTTCACAAGTTCTTCAAGAAATCCCAAGCCAAGATTCCAACTTTCCAACACCACAATTCTAGCAATGGTAAGATCTATCCTTCCCTACATTTTTCTTACAAGATTCCTCAATCTTTTCTCTAAATCTTTCTTCTACCTTGTGGGTTTTGGGAGTTTGTAGAAGATCTAGTGGTGGGTGAAGTGCTAGGTTGATCTAGAGGAGCTTTGGTCTTGCTTTGAGGTTGAAGAAGGTGTTATTAGTCTACAAGAGGTAACCCATGCTACACAAAACCTATTTTCACTTGATAATAATGATTGTTAGCTTCTATGTGATATTCTTGATGTGTTTGAGTGATTGATGCATGATCTTGTGATAATGCATGTTTAGAGCTTGTATTTTAGGGTTCTTGGATGTTATTTTATGAGCTATTCATAGGTTTAAGTCATATCTTTGTTGTGTGGAAGATTTGGGGTCATTTGGACTTGAACTTGGCCTTAAAAATGAAAAATGACGAATGCTGATTTTTGTGGCCAGATGTACCCCGCGGGTGGTACCGCGGGTGGAGCTCTACCCGTGGCCCTACCCGCGGGGAACATGATTGAGAAATGGGTGGGGGTTGTTTTCCCACCCTTTCGCCCATTCGTGTGTGATTCTTTGGCCCCCGTTTGATTAGATTGTTGAGCTTTTGTGTGTCTCCTTGTTGTTACGTATGTCTAGAGCGATGTCTTAAGTATCCATGTTAGGATTTG